AACCATGCTTGGGGCTGAGGCAGAGGACTGACGCTCAGCCTTCCTCTCTACAGTGGCCCTTTGAAACATGACTGGTGGCCTATACAATGTTGGCCACTATTTTTATGAGTTTTTTTTTTTTAAGTACATTCATACATACTTTGTGTCTGCATTTTATAACAAATAATTGTATAACGCCCAAATAATTTAGACATTATAGTCAGCTTTCAATGAATTAAGTGTTCCAGAAAAATCATAGAGTGATTTTTAAATAAGCAAAATAAAAGAGATTTTGTATTTATTCACTTTAATTTATTCACTTTTATATACTACAGACCAGACTTCAGTCAGAAGCAAAACATCAATAAAATAATTATAAACCTATCTCTTGGGAAATTAAAAAGTAATCTGTATCCCCCCCCCAAACAAATGTACTTAAAAATATTTGCCCCAGTGCTTGTAAAATGTAGCTTTTAAAATATTGAGTAGATGTTTTTAGAAGTAAAAATAAGGCTTTTGGAAACACCTTAAGTCATACACATTGGTGAGTTCCTTTTGTGTCTGGTCAGTGAAAAACTTGGCCTGTTGCCTTCCTGCCAAGGGCCAGGAGTGTGGCATGTCCAAGATAGGATGGTAAGCTCTCCTGGGAGACTGCACTAAATCATGGGGTCAAAGGTAGGGTGGGGAGGAAGCATCAGGCAGGTTTTATGTATGAAACAGATGATTTGAGATCACCACTACATTGCCTTTATACACATGCTTTAAAGAAAAATACAAAAATCTGTTTTTATGGTATGCCCTAAGCCACTGGTTTTGTTTGTTTTGTTTTGGAGAGGGGTTTGTTTTGTTTTTGTTCTTGTTTTGGGGAGGGTGCAGTAAATGACATGTATCTGCACAGATATTGAAAATCCTGCTAAACCCTTGTCAAAGATTTGCTTATTTTAACATTAGCCTAATTTATGATGAGCGTGCACAAATAAATTTTAGAAGCTCAAAAGATCCTTACGTTTTTGCATTCATTCTTGTACCTGAAGCCCTGACATAATGTGTTGTGAAAAGGTTCTGGTAGCCCCAACAGAGACACCACCTTGTGTTTATGAGTGAAGCATCCCAATTTGGCCCCTCACAGCAAGAAAGAAAGCAATGGTAAATTACACACTGTGGTAAGTTTATGAGTTACTGAAAAACTAGTGTGATCCTTGTGTCTGCCGTGTTTGAATTAGAGACCCGTGGGAAAGAGTGTTGCTCCCAGGTGAGAAGCTTAAACCCACTTTGTTGTTCTTTTCATCTTAAAAATACTTATCTGGGACTGGAGAGATGTTCAGCAGTTAAGAACATTGGCTACTTTTGCAGAGGACCCAGGTTCAAATCCCAGCACCAACGCAGTAGCTCACAACTACCTGTAATCCAGTTCCAGGAGATCCAGTGGCCTCCATGGGCACCAGTCATACACGTGGTACACATATATACATGCAGGCAAAACACTCATACACATAAAATGAAAAAATCTTAAAACATACTTACCTGTACAACATTCTTATATGTTGCTTGTTGTTTATTTCTTTAGTGTAGGCAATCCAAACATGGGCCCCGGGACAGCAGTCATGGGATGCCTTGCTTTTATGGCTGTCCTCATTAGAACATTAATGTTAAAGTCAAATCTTTACTATTTTTGGAGACCATTTTGCACACTGTACTGATGAACTGTGCCAAGTCAGGATGCAGGAATATTAGTAAAGCAGAGCTCTAAATAGTGCTCTCTCTGCCACAGAGACTTGTTCCACAACTGCACCCACAAACACTTCAGACGTCTTTGAAGAGTGGAGAGGGACTGACTGAGAACAAAGCTGATCCACCTGGCGTTCAAAGGTGACTGGATGGACTCTTCCTCTCTATCCTTCTCTTCCCCTTCCTAAAACACAAACGACTGAGACTTTCTTTTACCTTCCAGTGAGGTGTGTGTAAGCCTCACACGTGACAGGAGGTTCGGAGTTCCGAAGTCCACCTCTAGGAAAAGTATTAATTTTAAGTGTGAGTGTGTACCTGCTCGTCACCTGCAAGGCTTGATGCCACTGTGGAAAAGATGATGAATAGTTGGTCTTTGGGGATTGCATTAACTCATGAGAGCCACCAGGGAAGGGACTGCTTAAAGCCCTGATGAGGTAACCTAAATAGTCCCCTAGCTGGCTACACTAATTAACACACAGCACCAAAGTGAACAGTTAGTTGACTCGACTCTCCCTGGGGAACTCCACCCACTACTTTCTGCATTGAAACCGAGATACCTGGTGTCTGCTCTTTGGGACCTGCTTTAGGCCTGGAGTTTCAGCTGTGTGTTTTTCCTTCCCTGCTTCTTCCTGGTCATCTTCCTGCTCATTAAGCTTCTTGAGCTTTCTACCACATGGGTATGCCTTCCTACTCATCTCTTTTTTCTTTGTAGGCAATGATCCCCCTGACGCAAGATACAGCTCTAAATCCTTGTGAAGTAGCAACTGACCTAATCTCTCCAAGTAAAAGTGAAATTCATGCACTTCACAAGCCAAAACACCAGAGTGCGTGCATGTTACCAGCACCTGGGGGATCCTACTACATTCAACTTAGATAATATTTCATATGAGATTTATGCCTTAGGTAAATGTTTTGGCAAAAGGAGCCAACAAAATTGGATATGGTGATGAACGTCATTAATCCCTGCATTTGGGAGGCGGGCAGGCATATATCTATGAGTTTAAAGCCAAAAACTGGTTTACATAAAAATTTCCAAGCCAGGGCTACAGTGTGAGCCTCTGTCTCAAAAAAAAAAAAAAAAGAAAGAAACAAAAAAAAATCTCAAAAGAAGCCAAGACATGGAAGGTTTTAGAGCATGTTTCAGCCCACATGATCGTGTTCAGCTGATCATAGTTGTGAATTAAAATAGTAAAATTTCTGTCTGGCTTAGTGAGTCACTCCGCCCAATTGTTGTGGGGTAGCTTGCCATTGCCCATGTCTCTGAGAGGAGACTGCTTCATAGAATAGCTATTTGCTGAGAAGAATGGAAGGAGATGCTCTCCCCATGGGCACATTCTTGACTAGGGTTAAGGAACCAAGTAAGGGGAAACTTACCAGGCAAACAGTGGGCGTGGGCCCGCTGTGTCACCACTGGGGGACAAGCACGAGCTGCCTATCTCAACCTGAAGCACTCTTAGGTTAAGGAAGGGTCATGCGTGACATAGTTGAGCCCGTCTAATAACCCTCCTGACCCTCCTATCCTATTGGTAGGAAAGCCAGTCTGAAGCTGTTTTATGAAGAGCATGGCTGATTCCAAAGGTTAAATGAGGAAGATGGGATTATGAATTAAATAATGACCAGAAGAGCCTGTGTCCCCCCTGTGCTTTGTGCCTTCCTGCTATTGTTTGGAGCATGGCTGTGAGACAAAGAACCGCTTAGGTCAAGCACCATAAATTACGGTTTTCATACAATAGTCACCCACTAAAATGATTTCAAAGCTTGATCAAAGTAATTCCAAAGAGCCTTTTAAAACTTTTCTACAATACATGGGTGGCAGGAAGTGCTCATTTGGTGCCTTGATTTGTTTCAGTCACTGTAGCCAAGTTCAGTCTTGGTACCATGCCTGCTTTATATAAAACCCAAATCATTGATTAGGTGAGTACAACTTGTGTTTGGTGCTTCCTGTGTGAGGACAAAGGTTGGAGTTTTTATCTAGTTACTTACCTACAACAACTGAACATTTGGAGTCACTTGTAAAAAAAAAATATATATATAATTCAATTGTTTTACATGAGCATAGCTCGACTGTACTTAGGTCCCCTAAGTATTTGCTAAATCGTATCTACCCCCTCCATGAGGGTGGTGTCGGGGGGCTAACTTGGTGTTTCAGTGAGGCAACAGATACGATTGTTTTTCTTTCCCTCACTTGGATTTCTTCTGAGCAGTCTTGTGTCAGAGACAAGGATGATAAAAACTAGGCGAGTGGCCGCAAAGAAGAGCGAGCCCTCAGTTCAGCCACATGGACCGTGGAGGTGGAGGAAGGGAGCCATGTCAGGTGCAACTGGTGGCCATGCTCCTGGCGCAGATCACCTTCGCTTTTTTAAAGGAAGGTCATTTTGAAAGGCCAGCATGAAATACGACCACGTCAATTAAGTACTAACTGTTGAAGTTCAACATTTCATTGAGGGCCAAACATGAAGCCAGTGACCATTAACCTAAAATGGCCATTAATTCTCCTCCTAGAAACTGCTGTCGTTTAAAGGTATTTCTAGAAGAACTTGCACTGCTCCTTGGGGGAGGGGGCTTTGTTATTTTTCACATCCAACATAAATTCATTCAGAAGTAATTTAGTATGTCTGTGTAGACTTTCTGGGGTTTTGTTGTTGTTGTTGTTGTTGTTGTTCTTTTTTATTAAAATTCTTTTGGAAGGCATCAAAATCCAGTCAAAACTATCTCTTTACAGGAAACCATAGTTTTGTTGTTGTTGTTGTTTTTGTTTTGAGTGAACTGAAAAGCGAACACGGTTTGTGTGCTTAGTAAATATCTTAACAGTCAGATTACTTGCTGTTTGTTTAATGTAAAATTTCCAGTTAAATTATTATCCTCATGGGGGCAGAAACCACATCTATTTTGTTGACTTCTCTATGCTCAGGTCCTATCAAAATTCCTGGTACAGAGAGCCGTTCAGTAAGTGTTATATGAAGAAATGATTGCTAAATTTATATTGAATGTGTCCTCACTTTCATACACAAATAATTGGAGCTATTTCTCATTTTTTTCAGATAAAAAATGAACATAGTCACAGGAATCAGGAAAGTAACATATATGTTGATGTTAAAGAATCAATTACTTTTAACTTCTCAAAAATCTCAAAGCAAATTTATGAAGAATATTTTTGAGACGTGCTCAATTTTGAGGAGAATTCATTATCATTTTGTTGCATCTGACGTTAAAGTTGCCCCAGAGCATTGATTTTATCCACTGAATTGCTAAATGAGAATATCTGAAATCTTATTTTTTTTTTCATAATACAAGTCAACTTTATCAGCTCCTACCAACCAGCATTTGTCTTTGGATTAGACGTTTTAAGAAGTCGTTTTACCCAATATATGTAAAAATATATATGTAAAATATTATTCACAGAATTCTTGGCAGAGTTGTATTTTGAAGTTTCTACTGCTGTGAAACTTGAGGTTTGTGGTGTCTCTCTTTCAGTCCCAAAAGCTCCGTTTTGAGTTCTCCAGGCTTTGGTGGAATTTCAGGTATTGTCAGGTCAGGCTGGTAGTACCAGTGCACCATCTGGGCCCCGAGGCACATGGCCAGGAGGCTGGAGGACAGCATTTTCAAGTAGGCGGAACAGGGCACGCCCCCGGGCATGGTGGAGAGCGGGGAGTGCACGAGCGCAGGACGACCCGGAGCTCCTGAAATCTTATTTTTCTTTTAAAGATAGACTTACCTTTATATCTTCAATTCTATTTTTAAAATAATTGCCCTTAACATCCTATCAGGCCCCCAAATCCAGGCATTTCACACACAGATTTGGGGTTATTTGGGGGATGTTGTCAGGGTCCCTATATCTGGCACTTGTCACTGCTTCCCCTTGTAATGCCTGGTTAATTGCAAAATGCATCCAGGCCATGAATGAGGTTGGCTGGCTTTAGAGAAAGTATCTCTGGTCCTTTGCTTACAGGACCTGATCTTTGAAGAGATGCTGTCCGCAGCCTATTCAGTGGGTAAGCCCTTATTAGTCATTAATTCAGGTGTTTCATCATGTGAAAGCCAGAGGCATTCTAGTTCCTCTTCTTCTGGAAACTTGTAGCACCATTTTCTCAAGGTTCCCATGAACATCTGGAGAGATCTGACCCACAGTACAGGTACCAATGAGACCTGCCCATCTCATTCGATATTCCTAATATATTTCTAGCACTAAAGCTGTTTAAGACACAAATACTTATCAGGTCTCCAGTGTGTGTTAGCAAGTCTTTGAAGTACTCTGGGGGACTTTTTTAATGTAATTTAAAAAAAAAAAAAAAAAACCTTCTTGGAAAAAAAATAGTTACTTGTCAAAATGGAAACAACACAAAAGACATGCTTTACAATGAATTGAAACACAGCAATAAAATATAACAAAAGGGTAAGGGGGTAGAGCTCAGTGGCTAGAGGACTTACCTAGCACACTTGAAATTAATCCCCAGCATTGCATAAACCACGCATGGTGGTACATGCTTGTAAACCTAGCACTTAGGAGGTAGAGAAATTCACTCATCCTTGGCTAGGAGTTTGAGGCCATCCTGCTATACTCTAATAAATAATTAATTAAATATTATTAAACAATGAAAGAGTGTGAAAAGTGGCCCCGTGGATGTGAGACCGTTGTATTCATGGAAAACTGAGTTGTTGACTAATTAATTATATTCCTCTTGTTTTCTTCCTCATGATCCTTGAACGTGTCTTCCAGTGGCAAAAGGGTTACAAAAAGCAGAAAGGGGACCAGTGAATGAAGGGGCTCATGTGAAGGTGGAAATACCTTTTCAGCTGATTCCTTGACAGTTTCTTAAGCCATATGGAGAAAGGAAAACCACCTCATTAGCAAAGATAAGAAGTTTGACTCCTAAATTGAGAATTTTGGAATTCAAAGGCACCAGAGGGTTCATTTTCCTGAAGAAACAAGTCAAGAGAGTTCATATGACCTGTTCAAAGTCATGGATCTTTTTGATAAGGGACAGAGCCAGCACTTCCTGCTCCTAACCTCTTGTGTTTTGTCTTCTACCATAATAATACTGTTCTTTCGTCAGCTTAACACAACCTAGGGTCACATATAAAGAGGGAACTTCAGCTGAGGAATTGCCCGGATCAGTTTGGCCTGCGACCATGTCTGTAAGGGAGTGTCTTGACTGATGACTGTGGGCGGCACCATCCCTAGGCTGGTGAAGCTGCATGCACTGCATAAGAAAGACAGCTGAGCAGGAGTCAGAGAGTGAGCCAGTAAGAAACATCCCTCCATGGCTTTTGCTTCAGTTTCTGCTTGAGTTACTGTCATGACCTTCCTCAGTGATGGACCCAGAATTATAAGCTGAAGTAAAACCCTTTCCTCCTCACAAGTTGCTTTCAGCCATGGTGTTTATCGCAGCAACAGAAAAGCAATTTGGGCTTGCATTTACCGTGTTTCCTTACTCTAAAGATAAGATTATATTTAAAATAACTGATCACCCCTAGGAAAGATCAACTCCCTAATGTCAACATATGAAGTTTTAGAACTACAGTTAGGAGAGCCCAGCAGACAAACGGCTCTGCAGCCGTTCAGAGTGCCTGTCTCCCTGCTCACAGACAGCCTACCTGCTAAGGGCTTCAGACTTCCTCTGTAAACTGAAATAATACCTAGCATGCACGACTGTTACGGGAATTAAATAAGATTAGGGTTGAATACACCATAAATCACAGCCATTCTAAAACTGGCATCATCATGTATTATAGCTATGTTACATGCTATATAACTATTAATAAATTACTGCTACATAGAAGGATCCATTTCAGGGCCCGGGGGGACAGATCAGTGGGTAAAGTGTTCACTGCTCATGCATGGGGACCTGAGTTTGGAGGCACAGCGCTCACACAGAAGCTGGTCTGGTTGCCTGTGCTGTAACCCCAGGTAGTCTAGCTGCAGTGACACACTGCAAGGTCAAGGAGAGACTCTGCTTCAAAAGTGAAGGTGGAGAATGATAAAGGAAGGCACCTGATGTTGATCCTCCCCATGTGTACATGCAAGTGAGTGTACCTGTACACACGTGCACATATAACCATACACCACACACACACACACACACACACACACACACACACACACACACACACACGAAGCATATTTCACAAGTGGCATGAGACCTTTAAAAGCTGTGTTTTCTATCCTGGCTTAGACGCCATTGTGAAGTGGACAGTTGGCCTTTCCTTCTGCTTTTCCAAAGCCCATTCAAAACAACAAACGTTTGCCAGAAGTTGCGAGCAGCAGGAGAAGATCATCCTCTGAGAGCAGACACATGTTGACTTGGTTGTTGGCGCAGACAGATGTCCAGTTTACATTCCTGTGCGCCGGAGGAGTGCAGAGACAGGCAGCCTGTGTTTCTTTTGATAGTGACAGTAACCTTTGCCATAAATACAGCCTCAGCAGCCAGACAGAGCAGGAAGCAGTCAGCACTTACACATCTGACTGGCAGCCCAAGGCCTGTGCACCAGATGCACCCCTAAACACTCATGGGTTTGTCATCACAGAAAAGCATCTTGGCGGGCACTGAAACACCTTCTCAAGGCCATTGTTAATTCGATGAAATAGAAGCATTGGTGCTAGCTGAATTTCATCTTTGAAAAAAAACCAAAATGCCAAAATGGAGGGAAGTTGGGGAAATGAGTGGCTTGCTCCTGGATTCTCTCTCTCTCTGATGACTGTGACACTATTTGGAATGTTTTTGGGTTTTTGTTCATTTGTTTGTTTGGAGACATGACTTTCACTAGCGTACCACTTCCACACATAAGCCTTATGACAGGCAAGCCAACTTTTTTTCAGCAGTTGAAATAGCACCCTCATGAATACTGCGCGGTGGTGGTGGGTGTGAACTGGCTTCCCATTGGCTGCTGAAAACACTGGAACAATATGGTAGTGTGAGAGTGTGGTTCCTTGCCCCCGGGGCTTCAGGAGTACTGTGCACGTCGTCCACTGAGTCAAACAGTACCCCACCAGGTATGTATGTGAGTGCTCTCCTGCTCTCTTCAGAGAGCCTGACGAATCCAGTTTTGCATCGTGTAGCTTCTAACAAGATGGGGTGATTTCTCTTTATCCATTCTAGACTATCTGAAAACTGAGAAATGGTTCTGAAATATTGAAATGTATGTCCAACAAGTCACAAAAACTCAGTAGTATCATAGGTTGCCCAGACTGACCTGAGTCAACATACAGAGCATCTCTCTCTGTTGTCAGGTATAGCCCACAGAAGATGGAGGCAGAAATGCCAATGAGGGGGCACCCTTGGGTCTCGTGCCCACCCCTCCAGCTTCAGTCACAAGGTGACAAGTTCGATGGCTTTAGTGAGGTTTCACTCTGTCCCCAGTGTCCCTTTCTCTTACAGATGTGTCCCAGATCTATAAGAGGGATGACATATCCCCAGTTTCCCAGCATCCAAGAGGCTGGAGCAGGAAGATTGCAAATCAAGGCTAACCTGAGCTGTGTAGTAAGACCCTGTCTTTAAAAAGAGAAATTTTTGAAATGGAAAATGAAAGGGAAAAAAAATCTCTTTTACTTTTACTCACAGAAAGTGAAAGTTGAGCAGAACAGTCCTTGGGAATTACTTTGCGATGGGCCCATTTTGCATAGTAGACTGTACAGTATAGGAATGATTTGGAGTCAGTAGTCAAATTTGAAGTTTTTAGATTAATTTGCATTGAACCCAGTTTGGCATTGTAATTGTTAAAACATAAAACATTCACACAAACTGTCCTGAAATTCACTGATTGTTTAGGTAGGGGGTTGTATGTATTTAATTGTGTGTGTGCATGTGTGTGTTTATGTGTGTTTGATACTGGAAGCTATACCCTGGGTCTCGGTAAGCAGTTTAACATTGAGCTATAGCTCCAGCTCGTTGACCTGGTGATCAGCTAAGCCTCATTTAAGTTTATGACGTCACCAAAGTGTTCACTCCTTCACTTACAAGCTCGTCCACATCTCTGGAAATGTGGTGGGGGATGGGGCTTCTGAATGCCATAGGAACCATAATCCCCCCAGGCTCTCTAGAAATAACCTGATTGGCCCTCTCCTTCTGGGTTGGCCCATATAACTTCCTGGAGAACCTAATATATCAGTTACAGAACAGTAAATAGGCCCTTAGGACCATAACCTACAGAGGCAGTTGTCTGTTCCTGCCTGCCTTAAAGAGAGAGGACACAAGGCAGATATAATCTGCTGTCACACAAACGCTCTCCCCTCTCCAAGTGCTCTCTCTCTCTCTCTCTCTCTCTCTCTCTCTCTCTCTCTCTCTCTCTCTCTCTCCTCTTCCTCTTCCTCTATCTCCCCCTGACCTTCCCTCTCTCTCCATCCTCTCTAACAGAATGCAACTTTATCCTGGGACTGGAAGACGTTTTCTCATTTTGTAATCAGGAAGATGAACCTAGTACTAAACTCTCAATTCTGCAGATGAGGGGATGAACACTAACTAACGCTGATGTTCCAGAAGGCTTTTCGACTCTGATGAAAGCAAGGCCCTCTTCTGTGATGGCCACCCTTTCAGTGTTAGGATGGGAAGGTGGAAGCTGTGGTAGCCATCTGTGACCCTGAGGAAAATTTGCCAGAACCGTTAAGCAGGCTTAGTCTTGCAATCCCTCATACCCAAGGAGAAAGCAAACCCGCCTTTCTCCACTACTGTTCATCAG